ACATACGGGCATTTCCCATCAGAAGGCATGCATCCCCCCCCCCCCCCCCCCCAATATATAAGTCTGACTGTGGTGACTAACTTAAATACTTAAATTTAACAGACGTGTGTTCGGTAAATTATAAGGTAATGAAATAAGTAACTGCTTTCAAAATGTTGATAATGGGTTTAAGATCAACAACAATATACTAACATGTAAGGACATTCACCTGCAATGTTCGATCGGCACTGATTTGTTCAATGTTATTCTATTGTCCACTCTGACGAGTGAGTCACCAATCTGACGTGTCCATTGTACATTTTTCTGACCGTTTTTTTTTAACAGCTCGTCAAAGCAACGCATTGTTTTCGTATAGTGGGTTGGAATTAATGTGTTCTAAACTTGCTAACTAAGGTGTTTCTGGATTAGTTTGTTTTTTTTATTTGCAAATGAACATGTCCTTTTATAGCCTGGTTGTAAAACACAAAAAAACCACCTCGCATATTTAATATTAATCAAGCCGTGGGAACTGTATGATCAAATATTGTGTTAATTGAGTTAGGTTGTCAGAGTGTTAGGGTGTCAGGGTGTTAGAATCTATAGGTGTTAGGCGCGCTAGAAACGACACTGCAAACGTTTTGCTGAATCAGCATTATAGTTGCCCTAATTTGACCTTGGCGTAATCGATAGTTAATTTTTAAAATTGCCAATGATTGCTAGCTGACCTCAGTCTAGACACGGGTAAACGTTTCTAGACCTTAAACTACCGGTCTACCAATTTCCAGACGTTCGTTCCAATCGTTTGACGTCTAATTTAAATTCAGCGGATCAACGCGAACTTCTCCTCACCACACCAAAGCGTGAAACTCGGATTGTAACATTTTTGCTAATTTATTATGTTACGAAATGGCCGGTATACAATTACTTATCAAGTTGCTGTGAAAATAACTCATTTAAAAAAAAAATTCTCAAATAAGCGACGTATTTTTCTAAGAGACCAAATAAGGGAAGCGACTCTATTTGCCAATAATTTAAAGTCTGTTAAAAAAAAGTGATGGCTTTGCAGTAATTATATTGTATGTGCTCTTTCGGGGTACGGCAAAACTCGGCCGCGTCCGTGTGTGTTTTAGGCATACACATTTATTTAATGTAGGTAAACGCTGCCCTATTGTCATTTAAACACGAACGGGAGCTCAGAACTAACCGTCGGACATTATTCACCGGCGCGGAGCGTTTGACTCGAGGTTAATTCTTGCCCTTGTACAGACGGAGAGAAGGGGGAGGGGAGACAACTCCAGGCCAGTTGACGTCATTGGTGTTTGAGTGTTACGCAGCTTCGCGCCATTGAATTATCGGGTATCCTGTTGTATGATTTAGGTTGAAAATTTAACGATCCACCTGAATAAATAAAACCTCGTTAGCTATATTTAATTATTATTTTTTTCACTTTTCATGAATTCATATTCTGAGGAGCCCAGATAGCTACATTGTGGTAAACCATCATAATATGCGAAAAACACGATTAACTTTTTCAAATAGTCAAATATTACAAGCTTTTATTACAAGCTCTAACTTAACTCACTGTCTCTGTCTGTCTGCCTAGATCAGGAATCGGCAACCTTTTGTGACTGAAGAGCCAAAAGTTACAATTTACAATGCATCCTTCATTTTGTTTACAGTAATGCTGAAGTGATTCATGTTAATAGTAGCATTGGTTTTATCACGACATTTTTTAAAGATTTTTCGAAATGAGGTAATTTACCGCTCTCCGTGTCTTCAACAAAGGCAAGTTATTTTTGTTCGAAACAATCCACTTCTTCCAGCAAGGAATAGGCTGGGTTTTTTGTTCCTTGCAGTATTACATTTAGCTCGTTTAGTTTCTTATTGAAATCCACCATGACGTTGAATTTTTCAATTTGGTAAGGAAACTTTAATAGGAAGTACATTGAAATAGGGAGCAACTAAATATTCTAATTGAATAGCGGATGTTTATTGTTTATATTTATTATTATATCGTTCATTGCCGAGTGTTGCAGAATAATATAAAAAAAATAATTAATAATATTTGCGCATGGAACTCGAGAGCCGCATCTTGACATCAAAAGAGCCACATGCTGCTCTTTTGATGTCAAGATGCGGCTATCCAGTTCCATGCACAAATCTAAATATTTATATTATTTTATTTTCAAAACTCCTTTAAAAATACTATAAAGAAATACAACTTTAAGCAAGATAAAAACACTCATCAAAGAACAGTGAGAATAGGTGAGGTAGAAAGTATACGGACAGCTGACAGCCGCTTGGGAACTAGGTCCAGCCCCACAGTCGTGCAGTGACCAGCCCCGTGGCAAAAATTCCATGCTTGCCACTGCCCAGGTGCCGACTTTTTCGAATACCGTTAAATGTGGAATGTTATTTTATACGGAATGCATTTCTCGATCTGTCAGTAATCATTAATTTGAAGCATCTTTTTACGGTTGAGCCGAGTACTGAACGGTGTGGTATGAGTTTAACATGTGTTCAACGGGATAGAAGATAAGTCTGTTGAGAACCAAAGGACAGAAGCGTCCTATACACAGTAATCAAACCGATACCCAAAGCCGGTTAGTCGGAGTTTGTCGTGTTGAGGGCTGCCTGGCCAGGGAGCCTGAGCCGGTGGTGTCCGTAAAGAAAGAAAAAAAAAGTTATTGGCTTGTAAAGTGGATTGGGGTAATCCTATAGTTATATTATTTGATTACTAATTTTATCGTACCAGAGCTAGCTAAAATACTTTAAGCTATTTATTTCGAATAAAAAATCAAATTTATACATCTAATCCTAATCAAATGCCAAAATATTGAAATAAAAATGTTAGTGGCTCTTTAAAAACTGGGAACTTTTGTAAATTGTAACTTTTGGCTCTTCCGACTCAAAAGGTTGCCGACCCCTGGTCTAGATCGAAACGCCAGAGCGAATTACGGGCACTTTTAACTGACATATACGGTTCGTAGTTGGTACGTGGGTCAAGACATGAAGACAATGCAACATGACATTAAATTTTACTTAATTGGTAGCCTAATTAATTTATGTGAATTTATTAAAATTTTGACCAAATTATTATTATATATATATATATATATATATATATATATATATATATATATATATATATATATATATATATATATATATATATATATATATGTATAAAATATCAAATTTGTAGATCAGTATCAACTTTTCAGCGATTTCCGATAACCGGAAGTAGAACTTTTTCTACTTTCAATTTTTAAAATTATTTTAATCGGGCAAAAATAATAAATGTAGATTTATCAAAATCTCAGCGTTCTATGCCTAATCGAGTCGGAAAAAACTTGGCTTTGTAATTCTGTCCGTATGTCGGTGTGTGTATGTGTGTCAGTAAACACGATAACTTGAGTACCGTTACAGCTAGGTAGATGAAATTTGATATAGAAGTATGACATCAAATTTGTAGTTCTGTATAAACTTTTTAGCGATTTTCAATAACCGGAAGTGGAACTTATTCTACTTTCAATTTTTCAAAATCCGATGACGGAAGTAGTAATTTACGCTATTTCAGATTTTTCAAAAAAACGCATGTGGATTTATAAAATATTAATAATATTCCACACTACAATACACAGATTGTTTGGCGTTTTATTTTTAAAAGTTTAAGTAATTAAAAAGGGATTTAAAATTACGTCCATAGCCCGAGTTGCCATCCCCCGTAGTATTATATAAGACTATTCGAGAAAGTTTAAGGGAGATTACTCCCGGTTTATTTTTTACACGATTACAATACTTTCTCTATACTTTCTATACGAGAAAGTAAAAATTCATAAAACATTTTTAAGAACTCGAGACTTTTTTCGAATTTATCAACCATGAGCTTTGCCGACTCGACCATGCTTCCATCACAATTAAGGATTACGTGTCAACTGGTTATGCGCCATTGAGGCCATTGGCTCCGATTTCAGCCTGCTTTTCTTTTTGGATTTGCTTCCATAGTCTTTGTCCAACCAAGAACAAACTACAAGGCAGCAGTTGTTTGATTTTGGAGTTGTCTCTCCTAGAAGAGTGGCTGTCCCCAGTTAATGAGCCTCATCTGCCCGAGGGTTCGAACTCGAGACTTTTCGGTTTAGCAACCATGAGCTTTACTGACTCGAACACGTAGTGTATAATTGATTTTCTCCTTTTTAGTGCATTATTACATAAAAGCTTGTTATTTAAAAGTTTATTTTTATGGATTTTTTTTCCAAAAGGTGTTAAGTACACTCAGCGTTAAGCTGTAGATCTAGACCACAGACTTACATTCTTAACATTCGAGCTTAACAATCGCCAATGGTCTATTCATAAACAAGGTCACGCATATTCTAAATGATTTTTGACCTCATTCATGATTTTGATAGTTAAGCATTTTTTTTTAAAATTAAAATTTCAATTTACAAAAAAATGTTTTCAAAATGCAAAGAATAAAAGTATAATATAATGTAAAACTTAGTGAGTTGCACACTTTCTGAAACCCTATCCTCACACCCCCCACCTCTCGTCACATAGAGTCACAACAGTCAAACACCCCCCCCCCCCACACACACACACACACTCAGGAGTGTGCCGTCATTTTTGGGTGACCACACACACACATATATATATATATATATATATATATATATATATATATATATATATATATATATATATATATATATATAGTTACGTACAGAACGGTGTAACTTAGCATCCCTTACATTATCATTACCATCGTTTAGATTTAAACAATTGTGGAAGAAAGAGGAGGTGTGGGTCGTTATAAGTCCTTTATAGCTTGGTACGACTTCGGGCACAAGTTGCAAATACAGAGCAACAAAAGTTGCCAGTAAAGTAAAACACAAGTTGCTAGTACATTGAAACAAAAGTTGCCAGTAAAGTGAAACAAAAGTTGCTAAGTACATTGAAACAAAAGTTGCCAGTAAAGTGAAACAAAAGTTGCTAGTAAAGTTAAACAAAAAGCTCCAACTTACGTGCTGAGACGGTACCCACTACAGCTAGGATGACGAGACATATCTTCAGTGCCCTGTGTTTCATAGCGTCTGTGGGGAGAGAACAATCTTCATTCAATGCATGGTCAACACATATGTCACAGTAATCTTTGTTCATTGCATTGTCAACACACTTGTCACAATAATAATCTAAACAATGCTTAATGCAAATGTCACAAAAATCTTCGTTAATTGCATGACCAATACACACGTCACAATAATCAATTTAAACAATGGTTAATACAAATGTCACAAAAATCCTCGACTGACAATGACCAATACAGATGTCACAACAACTCAAACTGGCCGGTCGGTCTACGGGAAAAAATCCCGGAGCGTCCCATGGTAAAAAAAAATCCGTGGGCCCGCATGGACGGTGTTGTACTAGACCTGCTAGTGCTTTGATTTAAAAGAAAATTATTTATTTATTTCGTTGCATTTTTATCAATCTGGGGATGACCATCAGCCTTTGATGAAGAAAACAATTCACAATAATTTTTTTTAACTTGGGTTGTGGCCCCTTTAAAAATCACCCGGGTCTCTTGGATACAGCCTGCCCTCCCCTTGAATACAAATGTTAAACATCAGCACTTTGTTATGTGCCCAGCATTGATGTAATAACTCAAATGCTCATCCATCTAGGCTTACGTTGACGTAAACAGACAGTCTTCATTAAACATTAATTAAATAATATACTTCGTACGACAAACTTAATTAAACATAGTAAGTGATGTTTTGATTGTGGTAACGATGTTATAAAAAGTAGGTTATAATTAATTAGGTTTTTTTTCATTCCGTAAAACCTACATTGTTGGTTCGTAGTAGCATATTTGCGTTTTCACAGATTGCAATATATCTTAAAAGAAAATAACCCAAATTCAAGCGATAAACCTACATTTTCTATAGCTGAAGGCTATTATAAGACGAAGATAAGAGCAGTAAAACAAACCTTTTATAAATTTGAACATTTTTACGTTTAATATTTGACGTTTTACAAAATGTCAAGGGATGCAGTGGCGTAGCGAGGTCGGGTGTCACCCGGTGCGGCACTTAATGGTGTCACCCCCCCAGAGGCATAGAGACCCTTCCCAGGGACAAAGTTTCAAGTTTTCGATTTGCACCCCCCCCCCCCCTCAAACTTTCGATTTGCACCCCCCCCCCCCCTCGAGTTTTCGATTTGCACCCCCCCCCCCCTCAAACTTTCGATTTGCACCCCCCCCTCGAGTTTTTCTCTATATATTTTGCTATTTTTTGCCTTGGTGTCACCCCCCTAAATGGTGTCACCCGGTGCGGTCCGCACCCCCCGCCCCCCCCTCGCTACGCCCCTGAAGGGATGATCTGTAGTTATTTGTCTTTGTTGACTTACTTAAAGTTATATGGTTTTATCTTTAGTTTATGTTTTATGTCCTATGTTGTTTTTTTTTAAATCTAATGATGTGAAACAGGAGACGGCGTGGTCGAACGGTAGAGCTTACAACAGCTAACCCGAAATTCCCAAACTGCCTTGATGGGTGTGTCGCTAACATGTGCTAACCACACTTGTATTATGTCGAGTTCATTGAAACAGATGAACTCTACTTCATCTGCCCCATGTGTCTTTGACAAGAACGGGAAACGATGACGTCGAATTACTTTAAACAGTGGATAAAGACTTACATGCATTCACGAATTACAAAAGATGTTACTGGGTCAAGTGTTCAAGTACACATTACTTCATCCGAAGTAACGTGAGGGAGGGGGTAGATACATACAGCTATACATCACGTTCAAGGAATTTAACGACGTGATATACAATACGACCACAGATGACAAACAACACGACGGCAACACACAAACTACACGACAGCATGCAGGTAAATATTTGCCACTCGCTCTGGCATTTGGCCCTCATGTGGTCTCGCCCTCCAGCCCGCGCGGGCAGGTGGCTCGTGTCGAAGGTTAAGTTCGTCAGAAGTGGATGACTAGACCGATGCGGTATGACGACTTGCAGGCGGCAGAGGGGGGGGGGTGAAATATACAGGGCTGACGTCTTAAGGCGTGGGGGGTGTTAGCGGGGGTTAATGTCTCGATCACACGCATGCACACCCACGCTCAAAGATGATGAGCTAGACATTTCCTGAAGTTCCATCCTGTTTTTATTTCTTTAGACAAGACATTATATAAGATGTGGTCGGCGAATTGGCTTAATATTGCCGGGTAAAAAAAAAATTAGTAAATCTGACAAATCAGACACAGGTCTTTAAATGGAAAAATATTCAGATCTTAAGTTTCGATTGATGTGATTTTTATTGACATAAAGAAGTGAAAGCAATAGAGTTGTTTTTAAGGTAAATTATAATTTTTGATTTATACAAGATTAGACTACATTCCTGGACCCGGTTCAGAGAAACCATATATATATATATATATATATATATATATATATATATATATATATATATATATATATATATATATATATATATATATATATATATTTATTTATTTATAATATATATATATATATATATATATATATATATATATATATATATATATATATATATATATATATGAAATATGATTAGGAAATAAATAAGATGGGGGGGGGGCTTGTCATTACTTATAATCAGACGTTTTATTACTGAGAACATTCACCAGCCGTCAGATAAACGTCTGTGGATCTAATCCCAGCTGGATTAAAATGGCCGATCTTTTCCTTGCTATGTAAAGTAGTTAGAGATAAAAACGTCATTTCTAAAAGGTAGAAGACTGGCGTCTTCTTATGAAACTTTTAATTACGTTATAAGAAGCGGATTTGTATGTCATGCTGCTTAATATAACATGTTTATGGCTACATGTAAAGTGGGACTATCCTTTTGTGCGGGATATCATATACTGTATGATATACCATCTGATACTTTATATAATAAAATATTACAGAAACCATCTCAAAGACCATGTGATACTAACATACCATACCCTCTCATACCATACCCTATCTCATATCATCAACATTCCCGTTCGTGCCCAAGACACATGGTTCAGATAGCGTAGAGTTCATCTGTTTCAGTTACCTTGGCATATGCAGGGGATTTTTGATCAGCACTCTGTCCAGCCACATTTGTTTCCCTAACGTGATTCGGGTACCCAGAAGAGCTGGGTGGACTCAGGGATCCAGGAGTCACGAGTCTACCACTCGACCACACTTTCCCCCTTACCATCTCTTATAATATATCATAAACCGCTTGAAACATCTCACAAATCACCTCATAAACAATATAAACGATCTAATACACAATCTTAGCTACCATCTGGTAAAAATTTAACAAAATCGCACAGTGTAATTTGTGGGTAGCACTATGTAACCTGTTATTCATAATCTATTGAGCTATCGATTGATCGATTGCGGTCTCTTGTCACAGGCTTTGATCCGAATTTTAAAAACGGATGTCATAATTCTCGCAAACTGGGTTGTCATTTATTTCATATTTACAAACTTTAGAAGCCATTTTTGTCTCGGACTTGTCAAAATTTCCCATCAAAATATAAACTTAAACAACGGCCTGTAAAGTAAAAAAAAATTATAAATAACTGTCATTAAAGTGTGAGAACCAGGTCACATACATGGAGAGAATCTTGTCCTTTCTGTAAACATAAAACAAATTGGACGACTTGGTAGAGTTCTAGACTGCTAACCCGAAGGCTTCGAGTTCGAATCCGGGTTCAAGTCAATAAAATGTCACTGAGTCCACCCAGCTATGATGGGTACCTAACTCACGTTAAGAAAAGAAAAGTAAAGGCGGCTGGGCATAGTGCTGACCACACTACCCCTTTAAAGGTCGAGTTTCACAGAAAAGGGTGAACTTTACCTAATTTGACCTCTGAACCGTCAGGTTTGAAAAGGGAATATAACATACGAGCCGACCCGCGGCGTATCATACGCCACTATTTAGTTGTTTTATTTTCTACTTTTCAGTAATTCATAATTTGTGAATTCGACAGTACCAACGCTGCCACTGAAAATATTTGCTTTAAAACACTATCAGTAGCTCGTTAAGGACGATAAACCCCTCCTTTCCCCAACCCAACCCCAACCCCTACCCCATCCCCCCCACCCCCGTGAAAGTAAACTCCTCTTAGTTACCTCCCCTAAGTTTAAAATCGTTTCAAACTAAATTATCTGCCCCTACTAGCCGTCACTAAACCCGGCTCTTCGATTGTAAACATTTAGCGTGAACCACAGCTCACCAGACTTTCTAGAGAGGAAGAGAAGGGCTGCAAGGCGCGCTTACATCTTTTTTTCTAACGTCTCCAAAAAGATAATTATATATATAGATAGATATTTAGGTTAACTTTAAAAAAAAATCTTAATCCTTAGAATAGTTAGCTCGAGCATTAGGGTTTCGAATCATGCTCACTTCATTGTGACCAACGACTGGTGTGTACCCAGATGGCCACCCTAGATGGGCAACAAGCTAGCCTAGTACACGCTATTGTTGAAAGACATAATTGATAACATAAACATTTTGCTGAACAAGGAAATGTGGGCTTAGTCCTTTATCACAGTGTGCCTTTGACTTTTATTTTCATTACAAACACAGTAAAAGCCTTTCTGACAGTTTCTTAGAAAGATGTATCCAGCTATTTGCTTTTAAATAACTTTATTATGAATACATTTTTTAATTATTACATTGCTATTGCTATTGGCGCACACGTGTGTATGTGTGTGTGTGGGAGGGGGGGGGGGTCCAAAAGTTGTTATATAATTTAAAGTGTGTGGGGTTTAATAAAAATGTAGTGTTACTGCTGTATATGGGGTAGATATTAGTAGTAAAAAGCCAAAAAAAAAACAACTCTTGGATTTTTTTCTTCTTAGTCAAGATCTTCTAGAAAAAGCGTGTGTTTGTTTGTGTGTCTGTACACACGTGTCTGTGGTTGTGCATGCGTGTCTGTATACGTCTGTGTATGTGTGTCTATCGGCCCGTATGTCAGTGTGTCTATGTCTGTGTCTGTATGTATGTGTCTATCGGCCCGCATGCCTGTGTCTGTGTCTATGTCTGTGAATGTAT